AATAATAATAAAAATAATAATAATAATAATGTATCATTTCAATTAATGCAAAAGCATCATATATAATTTTCAAAATTTTAATTTATTGTAATTTACAAAGCACCTTTTTGGTCCTGATTTTGCTAATTCCTTTTTCAACCCTTCCCTCCAAATTCTTGAGCTCCCTCAGTGTCAGTCCCCCAAGAGATTCACCAAGCATGTTCCTAGACAATTAAATAAATTAAGGCTCTAATAATAATAATAATAATAATAATAATAATAATAATAATTACCGGTTTTGATTCTGCAAATTACTGATCTGCGCGCGCAGTTTCGACGCCTCTTGCTGGTAATACTGAAAAGTCATCAAAGTTAACAAGAGAATAGAAATTGAGATTTGCAGTAGCATTAATTTTCATGCAAATATCAGTCGGAAAAAAAAAAAATCGTAAACATGGAACAATTATTTGATTTGAAATTAGCATTAAACTCCTTAATTTGAGATATTAATTACATATATACAATTAGTTGAAATAGTAAGAAAAAATTGTTAATCCATATATATATATGTATACAATATACCTGTGTGTTTGCTTCTGATATAGAGACAGTGTTTGGGGAATCTGAGCATGCTTTTTTGTACCTCTCAATAGTTCCTTTAACACTGCAATATTCATCAATACACAATATATATTCTCGTTATAAATACTACTTCGATTTTTCAAACTTATAACTTGTTTAAAATGCTAATAAGTTTCTTGTGTTCAAATAAATCCCAATACGATGAACTTTTATAAAAGTTTTGAACTTATATCACTTAATTTTATTAAATATTTTTATTACATTAAGTAATTTTTTATGGTCTCACTATAGAACTGTTACTGTTCGTTAGCTCCGATCGACTCGGCTCGTTTTTTTATTTTAGATATTAGGGTCGTTAAGGCATAAATTCTATGGCACCACATGTGGCACCATATTATGGTGCCACAACATGATGTGAAACATTATGATTGGTTTTCTTTAACACACATCATGTTGGGGCACCAATCATAATGTGCCACATCATGTTGTGGCACCATAATATGGTGTCACATGTGGTGCCATAGAATTTCTGGTCGTTAAGGCTCAAGAATGAAAATTTTGGCATAATTTTGTAAATTCTTACCTTAACTCAACTCGTTAAAGCTCAAATCCGACTTATTAATATTAATAAACAAGCAGATCTAGAGAGTTTGAAATTCGAGCTCGACTCGACTCTTTTACATCTGAAGTGATTGAATAATAATAATAATAATAATAATAATAATAATAATAATAATAATAATAATAATAAGCAACAAGTGACTGAACAGTTGAGTGTTTCTTAAGTCAAGGTTTTAATCTGTCTATTCAAAAAATGACCACTTTGACATGATTTAATATCGTAGTAACAAAACAAAACAGAAGAGAATAAATGCAACCAATCACAGCCTTTATTTCTCATCAGTTTTGCAGCCAGCCACCTTAACATCATCGAGGCCCTCATTGGCTGCGCTTGCCTACGTGGCACTTTTTTTAATTTACTCGCAATATCATTGGCTCATAGTATTTTTTAATAGGGGAAAAAAATTTTTCACCCTAATACAAAGACACATTAAGTTTTTCACACGGCCCAATAAAAAACTAAGTTTTTCACCCCCATAAAATGCGAAGGTTATGCGAAAATTGTCGCATATTCATCGCATAACTGTCCATATGCGAAGGTTATGCGAAAAACTGTCGCATAACTGTCGCATATCAATTGCATAACTGTCGCATATTCGTCGCACAATGTCTTCGCACTTTAACATTTTTTCACCCCAGAAAGTGCGAAGAGATATGCGAATGTCTTCGCAGTTTTAACTTTCGCACAATGTCATCGCGCAATTGTCGCATATTCATCGCACAATGCTTTCGCACTTTCTGGGGTGAAATACTTAACTTTTTATTAGGTGGTGTGAAAAATTTAACAAGACTTCAAAACGGGGTGAAAATAAATATTTTCACTTTTTAATATATAGGTCACACACAGCAAAACAAAACCCTTCCATTACACCAAGGACAATACCATTAACTGCACCTTTTAAATTCAGAGCAAATCACAACCGTCCATCTTTGGGCATGGGAAAAAACAAAAAGTCAGAATTTTAGAAGCCTCCCATTGGTGGGATTTTGCTTGTACAAGAATTATGACTTTGAATAGTTTGAACACTCTTCACTTTAACTGACTCTTTAACAACAATTAAAACTAAATTCGAGTTGAGCCGAGCCGAATAGTAATTTCCGTTTTAACTGGTGCAATCGTTCAATAAACGAGTCAGAACTCGTCTTGAGCTGGGCTAGTTTAAGCTTAATTTGACTCGTTTAATAAACTTAAAACATTAGAGATATCTGCAAATATATATTGTATGTTAGCAAGCGGTTTTGCTATGAAGCCAATAGTTGGCTCCATAGTAGAACCAACCTTTTATATACAACAAACAAACATACCATACTAATAGAATTATATTATTGTTACTTAAGTAATCATAGAATATGGTAGATTTACTTGTTGTATATAGAAGGTTGGCTTCTCTATGGAGCCAACTGTTGCCTCTATAGCAAAACCGAGCAAACAAGTTTGATTTTTTACAATTTCACTTAAACCTCAAGATAATAGAAAACTAAAGAGTCTAGCTCGATTAGTTCTTTGAAATCAACTCGTTTATATAAACCAACAAGCCGAACTGAGTTAAATTCGTTAGGTTTTCAATTACGGCGTGGAGCTTCCGTTAGATAGTAACATGTAAGTATGAATGAAAAGTTAAAAAAATTAAAAATTAAAAATTGAATTTAGAATACTGTAAATGGTAAGTTATGGCCTGTAGGTTGATGTGCTCATTAAATAAGGCATAATGAAATAAACATTTTTTTTTAAAAAAAAAAATTAAAGGGAAATTGAAGGATTTTCATTGGCTTGCCACTCCCTTTCACGTTTGTATTATTTCCGTTTTAGCTTCAAACTGTTACCAAGCTTTCAAGAAAGTACTCAAAGTTATATGACAAAATAAACCCTCTAAAAATGGGAAAATGTGTAAATTTACTTCTCCCAAAAAAAAAAAAAGTCAAGAACAAGAAAATCGTGTGTGACGTAGCCAAAGATTTTTGTCTTGTAATTTAGGCAAATCTATTTCTTATTCAATCATCTAATTAAACAAGAAACCTCCATAGTTAGATCTCAAAATTTAATAAAAACAAAAAAAACATTTGGAGAAGAACTCATACAAAACATAAAGGGAAATTCTCTTTATTTTTTGTATTGAGTTAAATTCTCTTTATTTTTTTATTGAGTTATTGTCCAAATGTCTTTTTTTTTCAATTTTGAGATCTAACTATGGAGGTTTCTTGTTTAGTTAGAAGATTGAATAGGAAATAGATTTGCCTGAGTTACAAGACAAATCTTTGGCTACGTCACACACGATTTTCTTGTTCTTGATTTTTTTTTTTTTTGTGTGATAAGTAAATTTACAGATTTTCCTTCTAATATAATTGTGATCATAATCTGATCAGATTATGATCACAATTATATTAGAAGGAAAGTCACACATTTTCAGAATCAAGTTATAACTTTTGATTGAATCTGATTAATTAGGTTCAATTATAACTCATCATAGCAAAAAACAAAAAAATAAAAAAAAAAGTTCAACATGGGATGTTTAGATCTATCTACAAATGAAATCAAAATCTAGTCTTTATTACTTTCTTTACCTTGAACTTTGAGAATTGCACAATTGAAAACATAACAAGTGACAAAACCCTAATTAGGGCTCTATGTCCTTAATTAATTTTTGTTACAATTAACTAATCACAAAGTTGCAATCATGGGTTTACCATATAATTTTAACCACATCTTCAAAATTTTTTCAATTAACCAAACATTAGATGAACAAAGAAAAATAAAAAAGAAAAACCCTAATTAGGTTTGTGATAAGGCTTTTGACAAATGAGAGCTTGACAGGTTGCCAAGAATCCCAAAACAACTTTGCAGATGAGAGAGAGAGAGAGAGAGAGAGAGAGAGAGAGAGAGAGAGAGAGAAAGAGAGAGAGAGAGAGAAAGAGAGTGAGAGAAAGAGAGAGAGAGAGAGAGAGAGAATTGAGGAAGAAAGGAAGCTGATCTAAGACCTTCTCCCAAGACCAAAATTTTCCATTTTCTTTTTTTTTTGGTACAAAAAA